GAAGGTCGAATTGCAGCCCTATAAAAAATGCTTCTCCCTGCTTATTGACCTGTTTCTAGCAACATCTGAATCTGTGCCTAAGGTCTACTGATAATCGCCTTCGATCAAAATGGAGCTTTTCCTTACTCTCACTTTTTTTAAATTTAAAATAAAAGATTTTGAAAAGATTGACTTGTTTCTTGTTACAGTCGTAAGCCAGAGTGTATTTCACACCATTTAAGAAAAGATGAAATTATATACCAGTTAAGTGAGTCTTAAAGATGGATATTTGCTGTCCATACCAATATGAGATCTTCTGATAATTATTTGCATTTCTAGCCACCAAAGATTTGCAAACTCCATACTTGACTGTCATATACAGTAGCTGCTTCTCTCCTCCCTCACTTTTTTTTTTTTTTGAAATTGGTCATAACTTTTCAAGATTTTCCTCTGCAGGGGTTTAATGAGTGTTGCTTCACCAGCTCTTTTATCTCCTCAGTTCCTATGACAGGCTAGGTGGTTCCTAGGAACAGGCTGGTTCCTAGGAAAGCGGTAGTCCTCTGGGCAACAGTTCTGTAGTCCTCATTCGACAGTGAGAGAAGTGAAAACACTCTTGCTCTCAAAGAAGTGCTATACTGGAACAATGCATTTAATGTTGAACATCTCTAGCTCCAAGATGCAAAGAAACCAGAAAATAAAAAGGGGGAAAGAGTTAATGTATTTATATGTTAGTTTGCATGGGACACCTGCTCTCTCTACAGGAGGAAAAAAGATACATTTGAAGATTGTTGGTGTGATCTTTTAAGATAAAATTTTTCACAATAAGGTAAAACTTTTGCTAGCTGTCATTGCAGTTGTGCACAATCTGACGACACATATGCAATTTGTATTTCAGGGCATGCAGCAACTGAAATAAATTATGTGATGATGCAGCTGAACAGGAAGCTTGCAAAGTTCAAAATTATATTCTTCTTTCAAACAACATTGAAAAGGAATTGTGGAAGATGACGTCAGCTTTTCTCAGCTTTCTTGCCGATCACATGTAAAAGGCAAGATATACCGGCAGATACTTTTCCAGAATTTTCAAAGTATGAACACAATGCATAGCCTACTAATGACACATTAAAATATAAAGTGGAAGGAGAATGGTAAAAACAACTTATGTCCCTGAAAACCCCAAATATGCCCTGTTTAGATTTTTTTTTATTTATTACTTAATCAAGAAGAAGCTATATTACATGGAAGATTTTCACTTAAAAGGATACATCTTTAGGTTAGACATAGCATGAGAAATTTCAACCTAAACAAAATATTTTTGAGAATGTTATAAATAACCCAGATAACAATTTTGATTGGAATGCTCCACTTAGCCTTGGCTGCAGCGTAACCATAAAAAATAGTACTGTTAAGAAAACTACAATAGACCTTTTGGCAGAACTATGCTTTCAGTGTAATTTTCAGGTACATTTTTCTTTTTATTGCTACTGTATTTAACAGTTTATCATGCATAATTTTCTCTACAGCTGGTATTTTCCGTTGCTGCTCTATTTCATCTGACAGAACTGAACAAAAGCAGTAGAAAACTTGAGAAAAATTAATTTGTTTTTAACCTTGCACCATTTTTCATCTTTTTTTCCCCATCTTCTTGTAAAGAAATACGAAGTCTGACACTTCAGTGTTTATCTTGTGCATATAAATGCCAGGCAGACCAATATACAAGTTGAAATGCTGACTGAAAAGTGTTTAAAATAAAAACTGGCTGACTGCTTTCCGTAAAACACATACACTTTTAATGTATCAGTAACAAAAAGTAATATCACCTTAGGAAATACCATCTATGAAAAGCCTTTGGGTAAATTATTGTAAAACAGTGTGACTCATATCTGCAGAGACTAAATAAGGAACAGACACTGTTAAC